AAAATCTGATCCTTCTTCATGTCCAAAAATAGTCCGTTGAGCATCCGAAACACACCCGAGGCTCTCAGGACCTCAATCAAACCTGCCAACCAATCCTAAAACATTATTCAAACTTGTTCCAACCTTCGGAACGCTCAAAACAACATCAAAACACCAATTTTACATCGGATTCAAGCCTAAGAATTCCAAGAACTCTCAAATTACGCTTTCGATCCAAATGTCTATCACACCTTGTCGAATGACCTGAAATTCTGCAAACACGTCACATTCAACACTACGGAGCTACTCCAACTTCCAGAATTCTATTCTGACCCCGATATCAAAATCTCATTATCGAACCGAAAACTTTAAAAATTCAATTTTCAGTATTTCAAGCCTAAATTAGCTACAGACCTCTAAAACACAATCCGAACATGCCTCTATGCCCGAAATCACCCAACGGAGTTAACGGAACCAACAGAATCCCATTCCGAGGCCGTCTTCACACTGCTCTGACTATGGTCCAATTTCTAAAACTTAAACTCTCATTTAGGGACTAAGTGTCCCAAAACTCTCCGAAACTCAAAACCAAGCATCCCGGCAAATCAAAATAGTAGAAACAAATACAGAAAAAACAGTTAATATGGGATCGGGGCGTTGATTCTTAAAACGACCGGCCGGGTCATTACATCGGGATTTGAATGTCAATTCGAAGTCGGATTTGAGTGAAACTAGTATGATTGAACTCGTACGTGAATGAGTGTTCGTAATTTGTGACTTTTACCCAATTTCAAATCATGGGCCCAGAAAGACTTTTTGGGCATTTTTCCTATTATTTTGCTTTAGCTTCGAATTCATTAGCTAAAGTAGTTACTTGTAGTTATACTTACATTATGCAATTGAATTTATTAGATTTGGACCATTCTGAGTTGAATACTCATGACAAGAGCGTGGTTTCAGATTGATTTGAGCGGTTCGAGGTAAGTATCTTGCCTAACTTTGTGTGGAGGAACAACCCTTTTGGATTCGAGTCCTTTATGTTGATTGTAGTCCGTGTACGCGAGGTGACGAGTGCGTGCTCGTACTTATTTGTGGGAAGTTGATCTTTTAGAGTTCTTAGGTCCTTGTATTCACTGTGTATGAAGTTGTTCTTGATACGTTTGTGTTCATATTTGCTAGTTTCACCTCTATGTGCTTTAATTAGAAATAATTGCCTTATGATTTACTCTTACTGTCTAATTTAATCTTATTTGACTTAACTGAAGATTTTACCTCTCCATCGCCATGCTATGCTTTCATGACTGCTTATCTTTAATTGAAATTATTATCATCTCATTCTATAATTGTTTAGTCTTAATTTGAGTTATGATTATCCTCTGCTGCTTATCTTTAATTGAATTGTTGAATATCCTTCGTAATCGCTCAACCTCAAAAGGAGTTTAGATAACCTATATCTTAGTTGACTTGCCTTTATTTGGAACTATTTGACTCGCGTTGGCTTCTTATTGTTGACTTGAATATTGTGGAATCGTTGCTACATTTTTTTTTCCTTGTTAAGCTGTTCTCTTTACGCCTAGCATTCTTTACTGTGGTTATTCCTTGTGAATGTAATCTACCATTTCTTTGTGATTTAAAGCTTTTGAGTTGATATACTCATTGTACCTTGTATTACTGTCATTGTTGTGTTTGTACTTGTTGTGGTGATGTATGAGGTTTCTGTAGTGCTATAGTTGTTATCTCTGTTAGTTGCGCTGCATATTTACTTTGGGACTGCAGAACGACATTTCGGGAGATCCCCCTATATGCATATTTACCTTGGGACTACGAAACGACATTCCGGGAGATCCCCTTGTACTGCATATTTACTTAGGACTACGGAACGATATTCCGGGAGATCCCCCAGCACGACATATTTACGTTGGAACTATAGGACGGTATCCTGGGAGATCCCCTGTCGTTATATTTGTGTTCAAAGCTGCTAATCTTCTATGGTTAGGTGTCACAGGGTGACTTATACTCTAAGGATATTTATTTGAAAAGTATTTATCTTGAAAGGACTATGTTTGAAGGATATTTATTTGAAAAGTTATATTTAAAAAGTACTTATCTTGAAAGGACTATGTTTGAAGGATATTTATTTGAAAAGCTTATATTTGAAAAGTATTTATTTCGAAAGGATTATGTTTGAAGGATATTTATTTAAAAAGTTTATATTAGAGAAGTATTTATCTTGAAAGAACTATGTTTGAAGATTATTATTTGAAAGAAGTATATTTCAAAGAGAATTTCTTATTAAAAAGTATTATAACCTAAAGACCTCAATTTAAAAACTTACGGGTGAAAGTTTACACTTGAAGGATATGACTAATTTATTGGGGTTTGTTGGCTAAGACCTGATGTGAAAACTATTGCAGTTGCTGAGTTACTACTTACCTTTATTGTATTGTGATTTTTGGATTTGGGCTATGTTTCCGTTCATTCTTCTAGATCTTATTATGGTGTTCCGCTATTACTTACTGTTTTTCCTTCCTTATTGCAGTTGTTATGTTGTTAGCCATATAGCGTAGTCCTAAGATAGATGTCATGTTCTGTCATTCCTATACTTATTGTTGTTCAGTTTATTAGATCAGTGGGTGTATTGACTAGTCCTTGTCACTACTTTACCGAGGTTAGTCTTGATATTTACTGGGCACCGCTATGATGTGCTCATACTATACTTCTGCATATTTTTTTGTGCAGATCCAGGTATTGATCGGTAGTAGTTGTGTGAATCCTTGCTGAGGAGACTCAAGGTAAACCTGTTGCTGTGTTCGCAGGCTTCAGAGTCACCTTCTTACTTTGTATTCAAACTGTTTTTACTCATTTTCAAACAGTTGTATTTAGAAGTTGTAGCAAATTCTGTAGAACTTATGACTTGTACTACCGGGTTTTGGGTATATATTTATTGTAAAAAGAATCCATTTCAGAAACTTTTTAAATGTTATTTATTATTGTTATTATTCCGTAAATATTAGTCTTACCTAGTCCTTAAGACTAGGTGCCATCACGATACCCAACAGAGGAGAAATTAGGTCGTGA